TGGTAGACTATTTTATTCTGCCCCACAATCATGAACCTTTAAACACAGCTTTTTATCCTTTGCTTACTACTCTGTATAATAAATAATGCTTTTAAATTTTATTGAGGTGAAAGAAAATTAAGTAAAAATTCCTCTAGTGATCATGAAGCACCCACAAAACACCTTTAAATACATAACCCCATTAGTTTTTATTATTGCTAAGAAAACAAAGCCTAAATAATTTGAAATATTAAATTATATACTGAAATGGAAGTTAATACTAATACTTTAGGTACCTAGACACTTAGATTCTCAAGAGGTCCCTTTTATAGTTAAGTCTTCAGTGTCTTCCTGGGTTGCCTACACTTTTTAAAATATTTCAATTATCCTGTTTCTAGTTACTATCAGATTGGACAAAACCAAAAGAACTCCAGGACAGACTATCTTAACTCTTGAGCTTTCTGACCTGGCCCATTACTATTTGCTTGAGGGACAAGTATGAACGTTCCCTCTAGAAAAATACATCACAAAATTTTATATGCACTTTGTGCGAATCCACCAACTTCCAGAACTATTGTCCCCATAACCCTCAGAACCTAGGAACTTCTACTCAAAAATGTCTTAGACAAGTAAAAAGTTGAAATCAGATTGTCATTTCTGTTATCTTTGGCTTTATCTGGATTGTTTATTCTTTAAAGCAAAAATCCTAAATACTCTCAATTCCTTTCTAATCCAAACTATCTGTAGGTTCTTTGTTAAACTTTCCTTCTAATATAACTGAGATTTCAGATATTTCTCTTCACTTCCAAGAGAGTGGACAGAACAGAGAAATCTGGACTGATCTTTATAGCTCCAGATGGAAGAGCTAAAAACTGCGGTTTAGAATATTAAAGGTTAAAAACAAAAAGATTTCTTTAAAAAATCAGAAATCAAACTTTCAAGCTTATCACTTAAAGCGATTTAAACTTGCTTCTATGAAACTTGCTTCTATGAAACTTCTATTAAACTCATAAAAATTTAAAAAATTTCGGAATATGTGCACATTGCCACTTTAGCCCTCATTAAAGCAAAACAAAAAGAAACCTCCTATCAACTTTATAATAAAGTCTTTAACTTGGACTCAATAACACTGTATACTGGGCCAATAATGAAGGAGACAAAAGTAGGAGTGTAAGACTATCTTGTCCAGGTAGAACCTTATAAAGATAAGCTGTCACAGTATGATAGCTAGACCCTGCTTCTGAATTGGTTGATATCATACTTCACATCCCAAATACATCAAATATCATAAGTCTCTATTCCTCACAAATGGAAACATACACCAATACAACCCCATGAAAAATGTTATATGGAGGATAAGTCACTCCAACTTGTTAAACAACACTTTAAAAAGAACTTTTTAAGATGTATCCCAAAGTGGTATTACCAAAATGGAGGATTTAACTTAAAACTCCAATTTTAATCAACGTAAGTCAATTTTAAAAATCTGAAGCTGGGCATAGTTGTGCACATCTGTGCTCCTAGTGACTCAGGTGGTTAAGGCAGGAGGAAGGCAAGTTCAAGACCAGCCTCAGCAACTTAGGCCCTAAGCAACTTAGTGAGAACCTGTCTCAAAATAAAAAATGAAATGGGTTGGGGATGTATCTCATTGGTAACGCTCCTCTGGATTCAAGTACCAGTACCAAAAAACAAAGCAAAACAAAACAAAATCTCATAGGACTAATCTTTTTGGTAATGTACATCGTTTCAAATAAATGTAAAACTGTGGCAATAAATAGCATAAAGATAATAAAATTGACTTTATGAAGTTAGAAATGATAAATTATAATGGGACATCTGCCTCCAACTTAACTTTTTGTTCAATACTCAAAGGGACTCATTTATTTCATAGAGGTGATGATGGTCCACTGTTTCTCAATCATTTAAAATTTATATCTGTAATTCATTAATACCAGGTTTTCATCAAGTTATCTTTTGCATTACCAACTTGCAACTTACTTCATTGAATGAATTTAAATATTTGCTCCCTAACATCAGGATCCAGATAAGTCCTTCAATCGATTATATTTATATATTATTTTTTCAATCGATTATATTTATATATTATTTTTCAATTCTACTACAATAATAAAATAACTAAGTTCTAAAGTTGAGTAATGTTTTTCATTTCCAAAAGACCAGGGGCAGGGAAGATGGATGAGGGATTTTACTTAAAACTGTTTTCTTTAAAATTAACAAGCATGACTATTTAGACCAGTGTTGTCAGCTTTGATTAAAATAAGCTAAATGCGAGTATAAGTTATTAAATTCTTTTCATATGTTAAAGATTTGTACTAAATTTACCACAAATATAATAATTATTAGGTATATTTCACATGACAATTTTGCAGATGTATTCCAATCATTAAATGCTTTTTATTAATAAAGTGGTATGTAAAAAACTATCCTCGGGGCTGGGGATGTGGCTCAAGTGGTAGCGTGCTCGCCTAGCATACGTGAGGCACTGGGTTCGATTCTCAGCACCACATAAAAAAAATAAAGATACTATGTCCACCTAAAACAAATAAATATTAAAAAAAAAAAAACTATCCTCATCTAATCTGCCCCCAAAATAAGAATATGTACTTTTGCTAAGCTAGCCAGTCAATTCAGGTTCTAGACTATGGGGAGCTAATAGAAGGCATAATCAATATGTCAAAAACAGAAGTCTGTTTTAATTAACTTTTCCTCTTTAAATAAGAAGTACTTCCAGCAAACTATGTACAGTTTTGTTTTTTCTAAGGTTTACTTAGAATTCAATTACCTTTATGTTTACTATATATTTTCAACAATGCATAACATGCTTTTTTCAAAATTGTGATTTATATGACCTACCACTAAGGACATGCAACCACAGGATTACCAGGAACTTTTTACATTCTTGTATTAAGTTTAGTACTTATTCAGCTTCACTGATCATACAGTTTTGGTTGGTTGGTTGTGAAGTGAAAACTTTTAAAACAGGTGATGGAAAAAGGCAGCATGAAAGAAGAAAAAATCCCTATGTCCCTCAAAAATAGGGGATCCACATGCTATGACCTAGTGATAGCTACTGTACTTCAGTGAGCAAAAATTATCTGCAAAATTTAACATGCATGATACTTCAGTTGAACTCTGCTCTCATTTTAGGTTGTAGCTCTTGGGACTGTCCAAAATATTCATAGAAGCAAGACTTAACTAAAGTTCTAAAGCATTCTGTATTGCCGTCTTGCTTTAATCAGGTTCTCCCATTCCTTGGCTGCAAAACAAGAACTACAAATTAATTTCCAGGGCAGGGTAACACCAACTCCTAACTTGAAAGTTATTATCTGTTAAAATTATAAAGAGAAACAAAAATAAAACCAAAAGACAAGATTCTGCAGTCACAAGTACTTTAATTAAAAAAAAAAACAAATCACTTATTTAAAAATAAACAAATGGCACCATTCTACTCTAAGATCATACAAGTAAAAATAAAAGGTACGATTCTCATAGGTGATGTGCTGAAAGTCAGTACTACACTAGACAATCTCAACTACTACATACACTTAACTTATCTGTAAAGTTGGATGCTACTCTCAAAAAGTAACATTCGACTGTCACAACTATTTTATTTTAAAAGGTTAACCAACCCAAAGAGTTTAAAGAGTTTTATTTTCAAAGACAACATTACAGAGCATAGTTTCTACATTAAAAATTCTTACAATACCAATAGAAGTATTACAGTACAATTTTCCACAACAAATTTGTAGCACACAAGTCCACGCGAATCCTTGACTTCCTTGAACTGTCAATACACTGCACCCTGTTTAAATGGCTGTACCTGAAAACCAAGGTATGCAATTCCTTAGGATTAGAAGTCATCAAGTTATACTGTCAAGGATCTGGGGGAAATGAGAGGAAGATTCTATTATCCTTGTGTCTGAACCCAACTTCCACAACAAGGTAAAGCCACAGCAATGACTGTCAATTAGCTATAAATCATTTAAATATTAAAACCCACCCAATTTAGACATCTCAATATTAAGATCTCTGAAGGAATTCACTTAAGTCCCGTTATGAATTAAAAAGGACCCTCTTTGGTCTTTGACATTTACTTAAATCAGACCTTTCCCTCCCTTTGAGAGACCTGAAAGCAGGCGAAATTAAATTTATTTTACAGATAAATGAATAATAAAGTTGCAGGGCTTTGGAAGAGCCACGTAGTCCAAACAAATCTGCAACACATTTTTCAGGATCAAAGAAAAAGTCAGGGATAATCGTTTACTATCCTCCGACTAACTGGCACAGGGGATGCATGCACACGTTCCAGAAAGAGGATACTGCAAATAGTAAGTTTTCCATGAATGTTAAGTCGTATGGGCAAACACGGAGCATCCCGACATTTCATTGCAGGGAGAGGAGGACACCAGCCTCAAATGCCTGCAGTCCGCCTGGCCCGGCCCTCGGAGGCTCCACGTGGGGTTGCACTGAGCCCGGCACGCTGTCCAGGCCTCCGGGAAGTGAAACTCCCCGCCTGTGCGCAGAACCTTCGCTCCTCGGCGCCGGCAGCGGCGCGGAGGCCGCGATGGCCCTAGAGCGCCGCCCAGCGGCCCGCGGAAAAGCTGCAGGCGGGTCCGCGGCTCCCGGCTCGCCGCACCCCCACCGCCACCCAGCCTGTTCCCCTCTCCGGATGCACAAGGCCCAACCCAAGAACTGAGACCACAAAATGGCTGCCGGCAGCCTTGTCACGTGACCCCTTTGTGCCTTTCGGGCCCCCGAACTCCGCGGGGCCCGGGTACAAGTGACCGGGGTCGGCGGGTGGCCTTCGAGGAGGGCCCGCCGGGCCGCGACGGCCGGGGGTCTAGGCCGGGGAAGGCAGGGTAAAGGCCCGGCCGGCGACCGAGAGTCGGCGGCGAAGAGAAGATGGCGGCCATTTTGTGTGGGTCTGCTGCTCCGCCGCCGCCGCAGGCAGCAGAGGAGCGGGGCCTGGCGGTGGGTCGGACAGGGGAGTTAACACGTACCGACTCCTCTTCCTTCTCCATTCCGGTGGGCATCTGCGGCACGGCCCGGTTTATCGAGGCGTATTCGTGCAGGTCGGGCAGATCCTCACAGCGGAAAACCGGCAGCGGCTTCGAGGCGTCTAGCGCCCGCGCCCGAAACGACAGTTTACTCATCTCAGGCGCAGCAGATACCTCTCCGCTCTGGGGAAACGGCCCCGGCCAGCGGGATCATGGAGAACCGGGGGTTCGGTCCCCACTCGCCTACCGCTGCCGGGGACTTGAGGGGCGGAGCACAAAACCCGCCGTCCGGGCACTAACACCAGCCGGGAGGGTGGGAGGCTGTGCCGCTCCGCTCCTCTCTCGCTCGCTCTCTTCAATACGCCATGGCCAACATGGCGGACATTAAAACTCCACTGTGCGCTCTTCAGCCAACCCCAGCCATTCCCCACACTGCATCGCGCAGCGGCGCGGGCACGCGGAGGGGGGGGGAGCGCGGGCTCGAGGCCGGCGCCGGCACGGAGCGCGCGTCCCGCCAACCCCCGGCGCCCGCCACCTAGCTCCCCGCGCCGGGCTGCCGCGGCCCCCGCCCTCCGCCGGCGGGGGGCGGCAGGCCTAGGGGGCAGCGGCGCTGGCGGGCGCTCGGACGCCGGGAGCCGGCCGGTGGGGACTGCTCGCCCTCCAGCGCTCCAGCTGCTCGCTCTCGCTCGCTCCCTCCCAGCGCCGTTTTCTGACGGGCGAAGGTGCCGGAAAACTGTCTGCACCCGCACGCCGGCTTGTCGAACGGCAGCGGGGGAGAGCTGTTCGGCGGTGCTTTTGCCCCGGAGTCCCGGGCTCGGGCACCGGTGTCATCCCTGCCTGGTGCTTCGAGGGGTCGAGGCCGCGGTCGCCGGGCGTCCGAGGGGCGCTCCGGAGGCGCTGCCCATATCCTACTGATCGCGGCAATTTAGGACTTTAAAATAAAAATGCAAACGAAATCAGGGGCAAAACGTTACTCTGGGTAAACTTTTTAGCAGCAATTATTTCTGTGTCATGAAACTTTGGATCATTTCAAAGTATCATTTAAGTATCCATGATATTTGATCATTGGTCAGGTTCCCACCCACCCCGCTCATTATAAATGCTATTCTATTCCGATCCAAAGTAATTTTTTCCCCTCCAGTTTTACATTTTAACTATTCGTGTATACTATTTTATTGTAACTGATGCAAAGGATACGATGTAATCTTTAGAGAAAACATTTGAAGCAAGGCCTTCAATTCTAGACCGAGTTCTTTATATCTACTTGGTGTTTATATTGGAAGCAAATGCTGTTTCGACCTGGCCACGGATTCACACTTGTCATCTGTTCTCTGAACAGCTTGATAAAATTTAATCATATAAAACCTGTAATGCACTCGCCAATCCCCCCACTCCCCACAAAAGAAAGGCTGAATTATTAGGAGAGATTAAATGATATGATAGATTACTAACATTTATTTGGTTCATATTACACATGAAAATGGGTATCCAGAGATCTCCTTCTAGTGGGTTTAATAAGTTTGGCAGCAAAATTTCAAATGTTCACCCAGAAAAAAAAATTGTCTGCTTTTCCTGCTAGGGGCTACGTAGTAAGAATAATCGTTAAATACTGTTTTTTATATGAGGTGTTATTAGCTTAGGTCATACAGACAAACTGCTATCTTCCAGGTTGGTTTCTAGATGCCATTAATTATCACCTTTATTACCAAGTGTGCTATAACAGCACACTTGGGGAAATTCTAGCATACTTTACTACACTTCACCAGGTGGGGAGATGACAAAGAGGTAGATTGCTGTTCTCCAAGATTATTTTAAAATTCCAATATTGAAAACTCACCTCTATGAGGCAGAGGAGCTTAAACCTGCCTTTCCTATATGGAGACCATGCATTTATTTATTCACTCAATGAGCAAACATTTATAGAGTCCTTATAGACTTCTTAGTGTGTTGCTGCTGACTTGTCAACCAAAGGACTCCTGGAGGAGCTCACACAGTGTGGAGCAATACAGGTGAATTCTAAATGCCACAAGCAGAGGGGCATTTTGATGAATAGACTGGGAATAGACTGGAGTGGCGTCCAACCCAGGGAAGTGACTCTAATGAAGTATTCAGGGAAGGCTTTTTGGAGGAGATGATATCTGAGTCAAATTATGTGGGATAAGTATGGGTTAACGTAGCAAAATAGGAAGGGAAGAAAGATATCTTAGGCAAGGACAGTAGCAAAGACCTCAGAGCAGAGAGCGCATGTCACATTCTGGGAACCTTACGAATAGCCCAGCTTTACTGTGGAATATGACACCTATTTAGCCAGATTTAACCATTCTGAAAATACTGGCTGATTATAACAATATAATAACAGTCCTCTCCAGCCTACAATATTAGATTCCTGAAAATCCTAGTAGTGGAATTTATGATTGAGGAACTTGGATTTTATAGGACAAAACAGGGTCTTAAGTCATGAGTAAACCAAGGAAGTGATTTTTTTTAAACTTCACTAAAATAACAACAGCATGCAGAAAACCGTTTCCACGTTTGGTTCTGAAAGATGGCTAAGAATCCAGCTAGTAATGGGAATGAAATGGTAGAAGAAAAGGTATTTGTGGGAAAACATAACTTTTGAACAATTGTTAATAATGGACACTCTACAAATAAATTCCTTGTTTTCTAGAAATTCTCAAATCATCCTCTGTGGTAAGTTCACAGATTTGCTTACAAATTCAGTAGATCTTTTGCAGATCATACACTATCAAAGGGACATTCTCTTTCCCCTTAAATTTCTACCTAGCTACTCATTGCTCTAGATTTCCTATTCCTAGTTCCTTCTGAGTTCCCAAGGACCCAGAGGCTTGAGCCCCAAGTCTGTCCTATATCCAGTACACGTCTTTCCATCCTAAAGGGCAGGAGTATAGCTATAAAGGTTCATATTTAATTTTCTTCAACTTTCTTTATATAACCCAAACATTCCTTGAAAAAAATAGTTAATCCTGCCCTATTTTTAACTTTCCTTTCTATTTCCAACTTAAAGTTCCCTTTTTTCTAAGTGTCCCAATAATAGTGACTTACTATTCTCAATGCTGCAAGAATGTATACTAGGGTTAACCCCCAAATATACTAACCTTTTCTCAAAGGGAAACATGCATAAAAAGGGATTTGCAATGTTTAAACAGTTTCAGTTCATGTCACAATCGTATAATCAGCGAGGTACACAGTACTGTCATTGCAGGGGACACAAATAAGGTACTGGTAAATGGATAGCCAGTTAATCAAATGACAAGCAATGTAGTGAAATGCAGTGCTCTGGAAGTTCCAGCTGAGTTGATCAGACATCATAGAGAAGGTAGCATGGAATTTGGTTCTGAAAGATGGCAAAGATTCCAGCTAGTAACAGGAATGAAATGGTAGGAGAAAAGGTATTCATGTGAGAAAACACAATTGTATGTTCCAGCTGGAGGGAGGAGCAACTGCCAGGTGGTGCTGAGGATAGGGAAGTTTAGATGGCCAGAGTTCAGTAGGATACTCCAACAAAAATCCTGTTGTATGATGAAACAGGTAAGAATTTGAGTGGACAGAGTAGGATTAGAAAGTAGAGACGTAAGTCTTAATGGTAATAATAATTATGTACCATGTTATCCTAATGAAATGTGATTTGTTTTTATATGAAGAACACAGTACACAGCCCTTAGCAGGGCTTCATAGTGCATGTCACCAAATCAATATACCTAAAACCCTACTTTTATTCAGTATCTCCCCTTCCCCAAGCATATATTATAACTGTTATTTATTTTTTTCCTATCAGTAAAGCCAAATTCAAATTAAAGTCCTCCTATAATTTTGCCTTACTCTCTCCAACATCATCTCTCTTTATTGCTTAAGTCTTTAGATGTTCAGTTCATCTCATCAACATCTTCAGAAATCAACACATCTTCCCTGCTTCCAGATTTTTATTCTTTCTTTTCTCTCCTCTGTTATAGTAGACTATAACACATCTACTTCTAGCTACTGAACTCCTATTTTACAGGAATGTCTTGAAGATTAAATAAAACAATCCATGAGAGGCATTTAGAATGGTTCCTGCCCACAGTGAGTACTCAGTAGATGTAAGCTACTGTTATTATCCTTCAAAATCCAACCCAGGTATTACCTCTTTAATGAAATACTATTTAATTTGCCTGGGCTCTAATTCCCTAATCTGAAGAACAAGGGAACAATTAGATGAATTCAAAATAAGTCCCAAACCTACAAGAAACTTTCTCATCGCTGATATCCGATTACTAAATTTTCGATCAGTAAGAGTAATACCTACTATTCCTTGAGCACTTACTGCATGCTAGGAGATGCAGAAGGACTTTGCCTTATTTCATTTATTTTGATGCCAGCCCAATTATGTATGTCTTGTTGGGTTTAGAGAGGTTGTGTGATCTGCCTATATTCAGGAAACTGAGGAAGGGCATTGCTGAGTTGAGAATCCAGAGGGAGCCTAAGAAACCTGATTAAAGTGAAGTCAGAAGACCGAACATAACATGAGAAGAGAGAGAGATTTTGAGGGCTTGTCAAAGAAGGGAGTACAGAGAGATGGTGACAGACAAAGGGTGGTTATCTGGGTCAAATTCTTTGTGGTTTTTGAAGGTGGGAGTGATGTGGGCATGTTTGTAGTAAAAGCAAAAAAACCATTTTAATGGATTAACTTTAGGACCCTTTTCCTATAAGGCAAGAAGGAATGAGGGCAAGAATAGATAGGGTTGCTCAGAGTTAAGTTTCCTTTGATGAGACTACAAGATTAAAAACCATAATACCGGTTTTGGTAGCTGGAATCTAGGTTCCTCATTCCTTTAAGCATTCAAGAAATATTTACTCAATGTTTATTCAGAATTATGCAACCTCAGAGAAACAATAAGACATGATACCTTCAAGCTCACAGAGGAATATACTGTGTTTATATTTAATTGGGAAAATGTGAAATTAATGTCTTTAAAACATGACTACAGAGCAATCTCATCAATAAAAAGTGGTAGAATGCTAGAATTGAAAGCACTGGTCAAAAAGTAGTAATACTAATTAGTACATTTCACTCAAAGTAATCATTTTTTTCTATATTTTTATATTCATAATAAGTTACATAAAGAAATGACAGTAAATAATTCTTGCAACATAACAGCTAGGAAACTGGGAGCCCTTTATTGTATTTTTTTTTTTCATCTAACAAAATATTACAATTTGCATGGCAATATATTTAACAAAAACAGTATTTGCACAACTGATACTGATTTCTTTACACTGTGATTTATAGATGGATTAGTGTACATGATATTTAGGAATGACATTTGATATAAAATATAATAATTCAATATATATGTTAAAACAATCTGTCTCTAACTTAAAAGAATAATGGGCAAGGATTCAAAGTTATTTCAGTTTAACTTCATCTTCAATAT